CCGACCGTACCTCAAAAAGGGGGTGGTGCGCAAGGTGGAGCCGGGGTCCCTGACGCTGACGGACGGCACCGTCATCCCCTTTGGCCTCTGCATCTGGTCGACTGGAGTCGGGCCCACGCCCTTCACGCTCAGCCTGCCCTTCGCCAAGACACAGGTCGGTGGGGCCCCGAGAGGGTGGGGTGATGAGGTGGGGCCACTTGTTCCCCACACCTCATCCCCTGGCTTGTGTGTATGTGCGTATTGCAGCAAAGGGGCAGGGGTCTGGGGAGAGTTTGGGTGGGGGCTGTGAGCAAGCATTGGCGAGGCCGTGCAGCGGCGATGACGGCGCGCCGGCCAGCGACGCTGTAGGGTGAGTCCAATTCAAGGTGCCGAGAGATGTGTGCATGTCGGCTGCGCCCCGGCCCAAGCACTGCTCAGGAGCGCTGCCCCGACAACTGCCAACCCACGCGAGCAACTCGCACCCACGCATGGAAACTGCAGGTGGGCCGCCTAGCTGTGAACGAGCGGCTGCAGGTCCTGGCGCCACCCAAGCAGGAGGAGGACGGCGGCGCAGTGCGCGCGGAGGGGCAGGCGGTCAAGGGGCCCGGCAAGGTGGGGCGGTGCTGGGCGGGCGACGGCTGCCCATCGTCCTGTGCTGGGTCTTTGCGACGGACCATAGCCTAGTCTTCGTGACCCCCCTTGAGGCGCAATCCGCCTTTGTCCTGCACACTGCACGCACGTGTGTCTGCCTTCACTCACAAGGGTGCACATTGCCACATGCAAATGCACGCATCAGCACACGTTCGAACAAACTCGCACGTGCGCGTGCCTGCACTGACCCCGCTGAAAACCGCTCAAACAGGTGACGCCCCTGACAGAGGAGACCAAGCCCATCACGCCAGCACCCGGCAGCGTCAAGGCCGATGCGGCCGCCTACAGCAGCCTGCACCCAGTGCCGGACGTTTACGCGCTCGGCGACTGCTGCGCCAACCCGCACACCCCGCTGCCGGCCCTGGCGCAGGTTGGCTCAGGAGTCGTGCTCGCCGCGTGCTCACCGCGCAACCACACAACGGACTCGTCTCGCTACCCCTTCACAAATCCACTGCACAACCAGACAACGCACGCTTGGTCCCACCCCTACCCAGCCCGGGCCCTCGTGAAGCTCCCACCCCACAATCCATGCATGTTCACTCACCGTTTCCATGCTGTGTCTGTCACAAAGCCATACTTGCGTCTTTCGCTTGCACATCTTCCCCAACATGCATGCGCGCACATACACATTCACTCACACTCACACACACACACACATACACACACGCACACCCACACAAAGCATTGCCTCCAAATCCGCTCCAGGTGGCTGAGCAGCAGGGGCGCTACCTCGCCGCAATGCTCAATGAAGAGGCCAAGAACACGGGGGCTGAGCCGAAGGACTTTGTCTACAACCATTTGGTGCGGTCTGGTGGCGTGATGGGGGCTGGGAGAGGGGTTCTTGGCGTGTCTGTTGCAAGTTGATGGGGCGACCGTGCGTTGCAGGCGAGGAAGACATGTGTTGTGAAGGCGCCGATCACTCTGTGGCGAGTGAGCCCGAGCGCAAGAGGTCGGGCCCAGCAGCAGGCCTCAAGTAGCCGCTCCCCCACACGTGCGCCGCTCGGCGGCCGCCGCGCCACCACACCTGCCATGCGTCGCGCCGCCTGTCCGTGCTGTCTGCCCCCATGGCCCCCCCCACATACACACACACTCTACACACACACGCTCTAGAAACACACACTCTACACGCACACATACACACGCTCGCACACACGCCGGCCCCCAGGGATCCATGGCCACCGTGGGTGGCACCAGCGCCATCCTAGAGCTGGGTTCAGGTAGCAGCAAGCGCCTGAGCGTCGCGGGCTTTGCCTCCTGGGTGGCCTGGCGCAGCGCGTACCTCACGCGGCTGGGGAGCCTGCGGAACAGGTGGGCCAGCGCATGCGGGCTAATCTAGACAATTTTTCTTTCAAAGTGGGCAATCGGCAAGCATTGTGCGCACTGCTGCTGAGGGCCTACACTCTGATGGCCCCGACGTGGAGGGATGAATGCGTTAGGCGTGGTTGATGATTGTTTCAAATTGGTCAAGGGGAAAGCGACATGCGCTTCTCAGCTACGACTGTAAATTCACGTCTATTATTGACTGCCTGTTGTCTCACACCCTGCCCTTGAAACCGTACCATACATCCCACAACCACGGCCGATTCTCAGGATGATGGTGGCCTTCGACTGGACCATTACCATGCTGCTGGTAAGTGTCGGAGTTGCTCGCCACGGTAGATGGGCACATCTCTGGGGCTGCGTGCCTCCGACAACACTCAGCATGCCTCTGCAACCTGCGTGACCCCCCCCTTTGATTTTGGTGCACTTAACCTGACTTGCTTTGACAGGGCCGCGACCTCAGCCGCTGGTGATGGGGGCCGGAGGGGGCTGGCGGTCAACGCATGCAGGTGGTGGTCAACATCAAGTCAACCTGGCCGGCACGTGGGGCAATGCAGTTGTTGGCATGGGGTTGCACACATTCCTCTGCGATGCATCCTTTGATTCGTGCTCCCTTCGATCGTATGGTTAGTCATCGCTTTGGTTTGAGGTCGTTGCTGAGACCGCTGCTGGGCCGGGCACGCGCAGTCCAAGTTTGGGCGCACCATGGCGAGTCCCATCATCGTATTTCTCATTTGTTGTGCTTCTTCAGCCCCATTCGTGTCTTGACACTAAGCATTTCTTTCGCCATCACGGTACGGCCTCCCAGCATCAGTGCCACATCGTGCTGCCTTGTGAACGTCCAGTGCAACGAAGTTGAGTAATCTGGCTCACTTGAAATCACGGATATCGCTCGAGGTGCATGAGCAGATCTGGTGCAGCAGCAATGCCGCCACGAACAGCGCTGGCTAGAATTAGCGAAGGCTTCAGCACGGATTCAGGTGTGCATCTAGGAATCTGTTGGCGGACGTGCGCGCCAGCCAGTGATCCCTGCTTTGCGGGGCGCTCGTGACGAAGTGTGCCCAGCTCGCTGCATCGCTGCATCGCTGCGCCGCCACTGCCAACTCCTGGTGGCCGCCCTGCTTGGATTTTGGTCTCCAGGCAGCATCAACGACGCCGCAGTGGTCAAGGAGTTTGCGGATGGCCTCTCGCGCTCCCCCGACATGGCGGTCGCGGTGGCGGCGATCCGCGCGCTCACGAGCGTGATTAAGAACAGCGGCGCGCAGACCATGATGGGGTTGGAAAAGGAGCTCAAGGACGCGGCGGCGGCGCTGCAGCGGTGAGTACCGGCAAGCTGGAGGCTGGTGATGGACAGGACGCCGCCGGCAGTCTTGTCAGCAATCTCGCCATCAGTGTTGGCCGTCGTGATCCTGAGGCCCTGTGTGCCATAGGTGGCGCTTTGGCGGACCCGCTGCTTGACAAAATGCCAAATCACGTGCCCGGCCTTGCCCCCGCCGCCACGCTGCCCTCAGGTGTAACCCCACCTCCATCAGCCTCAAGGCTGGGTGCGAGCTCTTCCTGCGCTACACCACGCGCACCAGCGCCCTTGAGATGGAGGACTTTGCAGCGGCAAAGGCGCGGCTTATAGAGGTGCGTCCTGGACATGGGCGCATGCGCATGCCTGCGCGGTTTTCCCGGGGGGACCGTCATCTGGTCACCTGCTGGTAACCTGGGGCGATCAAGGTCGGTTGGCATGCAATGGGTTGACACCACAGCGTCGCCGCCCTGAAGATAACAATGCAGGAGGCCCTGTCTGTCGCGCGAGCTGCCCATGCGGCGTGCTCAGAGCCCAGGGGGTCGGGGTTCAGGGGCGCCGCTGTGAAATTCTCATACCTGCCCCCGCCCTCATGCCTCCTCCATCTTCCTCTCGACCGAACCACCTGTGGCGCCCTGCAGCGCGGGAACCGCTTCGCGGACATCTCCATCCGGGCGCGGCAGGCCATCGCCGAGCTCGGGGCGCGCTTCATCCGCAACGGCTCGACGCTGCTCACGCACGGCCGGTCGCGCGTCGTGCTGGCCCTGCTGCAGCGCGCGGTGTCGCAGGTGGGGTGTCGGCAATCAAAAACCACGCCGATGGGTGGGGTGGCCCTGGCATTGTTTGCTGTGGGTCAAGCAACCACTCCGGCCTGCAGGTGCCGCGACAGGCAGCGCAGTATACAAAGGCATCAGGCCGTGTGCATCCCGCCTGAATCGCCTCCTCTGCGCCTGTGCATGCACGCCACCTCATCCACGCCTCCCCGGACAACCCCTCTCCCCCCCCCCCCAAGTAGGGCATCAACTTCAGCGTTGTGGTGACAGAGGGGCGGCCCGACGGCACGGGCCAGAGCATGGCGCGCGCCCTGGACGAGCTCGGGGTGCCGGTCACCATGGTGCTCGACAGCGGCGTGGCGTACGCACTGGAGCGGTGAGCCGCGCCGGGGCTGTCCGCGGCTCTTTAGAGGGCGCCGTGGGGGCCCCGCAGATCCGCCTCGGGTTGGCGCACGGTGGTGCTTCTTGAGTCGGAGCAGGCTGCACCACTCAAGGCATTCTCTCAAGGTTATAAGCTGCCAGCAGCACTGTCTCTGAACCTGTCCAGCAAGTAAGCAGCCCAGAAATCAACCCGCGACCGAGCAAGCCAACCACGCATCCCAAGCACCCCTCTCGCCCCCCCCCCCTCCCCCGCACCAACAGCGTGGACATGGTGCTGGTGGGCGGCGAGGGCGTGGTGGAGAACGGCGGCGTCATCAACAAGCTGGGCACCTACCAGATCGCCCTCTGCGCCAAGGCCCTCAACAAGCCCTTCTATGTGGCGGCAGAGTCCTACAAGTTCGCCCGCCTCTACCCCCTCAACCAGCAGGTGCGCCGCAGCACGCGCCGGGCATGGCGCCGGCCGCGCCGCCCACTCGTCCTGCGCGCCCTGCGCTTGGCTAGTGGGCCTGGGTTTGGTTGACAAAGTCTCCTGGGCTGCCGGCCGTCGCGGGAGCAAGGCTGTTCTCGTCCGCAGTTCTAAGGTCTGGCGCCTGAAGAGCCTGGGCCCCTCCGGCTGCCACTTGCCGCCTGCCTCGGCCGCTCTCTCGCCTCACCCCATGCTCCAAATCCTGCCCACGCCCTCGCCACCCACCCTGCCGCCCTCTAAGGACCTCCCTGTCGAGCACAAGCCGGTGGACGTGGGCCCCCTGCTGCCGCGCAGCGTGGCGGTGGACAACCCAAGCCGCGACTACACGCCGCCGCAGTACATCAGCCTGCTGGTCACAGACCTGGGGGTGCTCACGCCGGCCGCGGTCAGCGACGAGCTCATCCAGCTGTACGTGTGATGAAACGTTTGCCGGGGTAGTGCCCAGGTGGCTGTCGTTTTTGTTGTTGCGTGTCAGCCTCGGCGTTGTTTGCCTCGTATGTGTGCTTTGATTGGTTTTGGTTGAAATCCCCTGTCGTTCTCTAGTTCTCTAGCATGTCGATAGCTTGTGCCTGCACCTTTGTGCCTGCACCTTTGCAGTGCTGTACAGCATATGCAGTCTCAAGTGCCCTGAGTAGGGTTGCTCCCCATGATACGACCCTGTGTAATGACCCCATGCAGACGCTCGCTTGCCGGGTAGCGGGCTTTACATGATCAGTTGTGGCTCGCGCAGCCCCCGCCCCCGTTGCTGCCGCCGCCGCCC